ACTGCCTTTTTTTGAGGCCCTCAAAAAAAATCGTCTCAGATCGACCCGGAAAAAAATTTTCTTATAGAATGTGGCCTGTAGAATCTATAATTTCAAACAGTTCCAAGATTGGGCTACTAGTTCAAAAGTTACAGCCCTTTGAATTTTCTTTCGAAATTGGTTTCTAGTCCATAACTTTTGATTGAGAAGTCTGATCGAAAAAGTTCGAATTGTTTTGGATTCTACGCACCAAAATTAATAAGAAAAAGTGTTTTCCCGAGAAATTTTGGTGTAGTCAATTTTTGGTAAAAAAGGAAGGTTATACACTGCCTTTTTTTGAGCCCCGAAAAAAAATTGTCTCAGATCGACCCGGAAAAAAAATGTTCTTATAGAATGTCGCCTGTAGAATCCATAATTTCAAACAGTTCCTAGATTGGGCTACTAGTTCAAAAGTTACAGCCCTTTGAATTTTCTTTCGAAATTGGTTTCTAGTCTATAACTGTTGATTGAGAAGTCCGATCGAAAAAGTACGAATTGTTTTGGATTCTACGCACCAAAATTAATAAGAAAAAGTGTTTTCCCGAGAAATTTTGGTGCAGTCGATTTTTGCTAAAAAAGGAAGGTTATACACTGCCTTTTTTTGAGCCCCGAAAAAAAAATTGTCTCAGATCGACCCGGAAAAAAATTTTCTTATAGAATGTGGCCTGTAGAATCCATAATTTCAAAAAGTTCCAAGATTGGGCTACTAGTTCAAAAGTTACAGCCCTTTGAATTTTCTTTCGAAATTGGTTTCTAGTCTATAACTTTTGATTGAGAAGTCTGATCGAAAAAGTACGAATTGTTTTGGATTCTACGCACCAAAATTAATAAGAAAAAGTGTTTTCCCGAGAAATTTTGGTGCAGTCGATTTTTGGTAAAAAAGGAAGGTTATACACTGCCTTTTTTTGAGGCCCGAAAAAAAATTGTCTCAGATCGACCCGGAAAAAAATTTTCTTATAGAATGTGGCCTGTAGAATCCATAATTTCAAACAGTTCCAAGATTGGGCTACTAGTTCAAAAGTTACAGCCCTTTGAATTTTCTTTCGAAATTGGTTTCTAGTCTATAACTTTTGATTGAGAAGTCTGATCGAAAAAGTACGAATTGTTTTGGATTCTACGCACCAAAATTAATACGAAAAAGTGTTTTCCCGAGAAATTTTGGTGCAGTCGATTTTTGGTAAAAAAGGAAGGTTATACACTGCCCTTTTTTGAGCCCGAAAAAAAAATTGTCTCAGATCGACCCGGAAAAAAAATTTTCTTATAGAATGTGGCCTGTAGAATCCATAATTTCAAACAGTTCCAAGATTGGGCTACTAGTTCAAAAGTTACAGCCCTTTGAATTTTCTTTCGAAATTGGTTTCTAGTCTATAACTTTTGATTGAAAAATCTAATCGAAAAAGTACGAAATGTTTTGGATTCTACGCACCAAAATTAATACGAAAAAGTGTTTTCCCGAGAAATTTTGGAGTAGTCGATTTTTGGTAAAAAAAGGAAGGTTAAGTATTCAAATACTATGCGAAGTATTCGAATACTAAATATTTGTGAAAGTAATTGAGTTACAAAAACAAATACTGCTTCCATAAAAGTATTTAATTACAAAGTATTTGAATACTTTAAAGGATTTGAATCAAAATCGAATACTGCCCAGCTCTGGGTTTATTTGTGTTTTTGTTTTACTTTTTGTAACTGCAGTTTGCGGTCTATTTGCTTCCTTTATCGAACTAAAATAAAATGTGAAGAGGAAGAAGAAGACCGAGACACTTCGCAAGTTAAAAATTAGGTTTAATAAAAGCATTGCGGTGGTTGAGTAAAAATCGCTATACAAGCCGAGTATCGATCTCCAAAATCAATCCAGTGTTTTAAGAAAATAACTACGGTACCATAGTGATTATATTTCCACCCTTCTTCTACGCAAAATTATAAAGAAGATAAAGATGTTTGTTTCTATTGTAGATTTCTCTTACACTCTATATAAACGGCATCAAACGTTTTGTTTCTCTTATTTGTAATTTACGAAAACGAATAGACCTCATGAGAAAATATGGTGCCAATGCATCATCTATGAACTTATTGATGCGTTGAAGGCGTATCTATAGACTTAATTAACCACGATGGTCAGAAACATTAGCTATTGAAAGGAGACCGTATTCATTCGGGAACTGAAAGGAAAGTCTAGAAAGAGAAATATATCCAGCATTTACTAAAAATTTCTCGACGTAGATAGAGGTAGGGAAAAAAGGAAGATTAAAGTAGAAAGTAACTAACTGTTTTATGTTTATCTACCTTTAAGCAGGAAATGTACAAAGTTCTAGTTTATCGTTATATACAAAGCATTTATTTTATAACTTCTAATGAATATTAATAGGAAGGGGATTCTATATTTTCTGGCATTCCGGTTGTTTGCTGCTCTCAAAGGATATGTAAATATCACAAAATAGGAATTGTAATTCCGCTAACACAAATAAACGTATTTTCTGGGGAAAAAACTCATTAATACTTAAAACAAAAGATTTGCAATAAATCAGCGAAAGAATAGGCATTGATTAGATAAAAACAGAAGGGTAGTTCGACTGCCATATAAAGGCGAATAACGAGTTGATATTTCTGTCACGAGGCAATCAATTTCAACACATAATAAAATTTCTGTAAAACTCTGCGTCGACATTAGCATATGAAACGTAGAGTTGGAAGGCCGTTTTTCATTTTTTTATGTAGTCGAAGAATGCATACTGTATTATCTATGAATTATAACTCAAACTTTTTCCCTATTCTCGGCCATTAGTTTCCAGTTTTTTTTTTTAATTTTATACATAAATACGCTTTTCCAATCTCTTCATTAACAATGGCTGACCCAAAATCCCATTGTTAAACACTCCCGAAAAAGAATGCGGAAAATTTAATATTTTTTCGAGGAGGAAAATGTTTTATGAGAAGCTGGCGTCTAGAAAATATGATGCAATAGACGTTGTGTGAGAGTGTTTGTGTTGATAATATGCCCAACGTATAAAAGGGATAATTATTTTTTTCGTTACTTTAGAAAGTCTTGTTTTAAGTTCGTAATCTAATTTGCAATTGTTGGGAGAGTACTTCAAATTCCCTTAGGCGTGTCCATGAATATATATTCAAGTTTGAAAGATTGTTATGCAAATATCGTAAAGTGGTTACTTACTTCTTATTTTCAAATTTAGAATATGCTTCGCGGTAATCGGGCTCCAAATCTAAAAGTTTGGAAGCAATTAAAATGTAACTTCGTGCAACACATTTCGGAGTGATATAGGTTTTTAATACGAGTACTATTGTATTTCTAAACTGTTGGGAAATGACTAAAAATGTGTAAAGGAAGCGTACAGTAAAATAGTCCTTTTCATTACAATTAATGTCATCACTTCGGCCTTTGTCCTAGGACGGAGGAAATTCTAATTTCGGGTTTATCGACATAAATCCGTTATAGTGCTTTACCTACTCCGGTATGGTTTCACTATCGACCCCCAGCTTCATCGACCCGTGTTGATGCTAATGCCTTGACTGTGGTGTTGTGTTCCTCAAGTTAAGTAGTTTTTCGTTGTGGACCCCAGTCTTTCTGGATGCCCCTGAAGGAATCTCACGATGAGGATGATCTAGCACGGTGCTGTGAATTTTCGACCAGCGACGTCCTTTCGATTGTGGCAAACAATCTTCGTGTAGCAATTTAAAAACTTCATTTTGACATCGAAATATCACCTATCGTAGCAATGCGAATAAATCAGCGAATAAATTTAAATTTTTGATACGATTACTGCGGACTATTTCATCAACGTGGTGATGATGGACCCAAATGTAATTACTATCGAGAATTGAGAATAGTCTTAAAAATAAGTAGGTTTTGCTATTCAAACATATGAATGTTTAAAATGCATAATTTCCCTTGGGAAATTATGCTTATTAGACATTCAAACTAGTAAAAACTAACGTACAGTCAAGATTATTATACGAGCATTACTATCGCTTAATATGTATCTACCAATTTTAAAGTATATACCGAGTTTATTGTAAGTTGTAAATGCATATTGCAGTTCTATGTACCAGTAGTTAACAGCTGAAGTTTCATATTGTGCGAATTGCAACTAGGTTTCTCATTTTAGTGTGTTTATGACTGGTTAGATTTACAGGAATATCGGCCATTCTAGGAAGCACTGCCGGAGACTTTATAATTGAATTTGAAATGGTGTAAAGCATTTCCAGGGGATACTTCGTAAATTAACAAAACGTACAATGAACAAAATTACCGTCCCAGTGAACTAAATAGCAAACACGCATTTATCTTCTTGTAATTGAAGACGTCGTAGAACCCCCTCTAAATGAATTAAACGGTCTTCAAACGTGTTACAGATGACCAATGACGTCGTCAACATTGTAAACGCCTTTTCATCCATCCAAAAATCTCTGGAATGTGGATGGTGCTACCTGACTTACTTGCGGTACTTGCCAGCACCCAGACCTTGGGTATAGGGCAACGGATATGCGTCCATACCCGTCAGATGGTTCACTTGTCGATAATTTCCGGAGGATTTTTGTGCCAATATTATCAGTGAGCCCAGGGGAAATTTTACGGTACAATCACTTCATCCTGTAACATCTTGCTTTGTGGCTCCACTCCAGGCTTTAGAACATTAGCAGGTTCGATGGCATTTATACGCTCAGGAAGGGTTCGAAACTGACCTAGTTCTTCCTCCAGGAATTGGTTTAATCTGTGTAGCTGGACTTCTTCGAGTGCTCGCAGACCTGCTAGATCCTGATCCTGATCGAGTCGGGAAAAAATATATCTATAAATAGCGTACGGTCACAAGTATCGAGAGTAATACAGTGACTTTTCGGAAAATCCAACTGGCATTTCACTTGTAAG